TCTCTATAATTTGATTCCGCTATCATCATTCTGTCCGTACTGCTGTAAGCGGTTTGCTTTCTGATCTCATCCTTGAATATAACTTCACTCTTTTTCTCCGAACTCGACGCGACTTCTACGTCTTCCAAATTATCTCTTCCACACCCATGTTTCTTTTTGATTCTTGATACTTTCGTATTCGCGTTAGGGTTTTTCCTCGGTACTCAAATGGATTGAGTTGTTGACCAGGTTCTGCTTTCAGAGAAGTACTGCGTCTACCCTTTCGACCATTTGTTCCTTGGCTTTCTATTTTACTGTCAGGTGAATTTCTCATTCCATTATATTCCAAATCCTCACCAATATCGTTATCTGATTCGATTTGAGGTTCTCTCTGGTTCACAGATGAGGTGAATCATCGACCAGCCCTCGCATACGAGGAAGTAGTGTGTCTTTCATCTTGATAGTCTGTTCCTAGATCTTTCATTTCATCATCAGACGTTTCAATACGATAAAAACCACGTTTCCTTTTCTCATTTTTCAAATATTCCTCATTATTCATTACAGAATGCGGCCCGCTCATACAAGGTGCCGTGAATTCTTCACAACATATTCTGTTACAGGATAAATCACATTCCCTCTTTCCATATTTCCAACAATTCTTAATGGTTTCAGAATGCGGTCATACAGGGTGCAGTTGATACTTCACAACATATTCTTCTTCTGTTCCTATAAGAAGAAAACTCCATGAGGTTGAGAAAGCTCACTACTTCTTTCTCGACCGGATGAACTCAGTGATAGTGATACCGTCTTCACCTGGGAATTTTTTCTCAGATTCTCCATACTCTCTGGCCAGACAATCTAGCCCCAAAAACATGCGAAATATTGCTTCCCAGACTGATTCTCTTGATTCAACAAAAACTTCGTGTTTGTGTTCCAACACATCTTAAATCTGTATTCTTGAAAAAAAATCCATTCCCAACAAAATATTTGCAGTAAAATTTGCTACCTGCACAACTAAAAATCCATGTTCGATTACTTGGCTATCACCAAATCCTAATTTCATTCTTGTATATCCTTTGTAAGGAATCAAATTTTCTTGCACATCGCGTAAGGCGCAACTCTTACCGTGATAAATTTTTCTGTCATAAAAAATAGTTTGTCGATGAAAATTCCAGAATATATTCTTTGAAAGTATATTCATCGACGTGCTAAGACAGATTTGCGTACCATACGTTCCTTCGGTGCGAAAAAAATAGTTCCTTATATTCGGAACTCAATTACTTGATAAAGTCAATGAAAATTTCAGAATATATTCTTGGAAAGTATATTTTTCGACGTGCTGGAACAGATTTGCGTTCCATACGTTCCTTCGGTGCGAACAAAAAAAGTTCCGTATATTCGGAACTGAATAACTCATAAAAGTCAAATTTCTCACTTATCAAAAATAATTTGTCGATGAAAATTTCAGAATATATTCTTCTAAGGTAAATAGTTTGTTGATGAAAATTTCAGAATATATTCTTCTATAGTATATCTATCGACGTGTTCGAACAGACCTGCGTACCATACGTTCCTTGGGTGCGAAAAAAAAATAGTTCCATATATTCGGAACTGAATTACTCAAAAAAGTCAAATTTCTCACTTATCGAAAATAGTTTGTCGATGAAAATTTCAGAATATATTCTTCTAAAGTATATCTATCGACGTGTTCGAACAGATTTGCGTACCATACGTTTCTTCGATGCAAAAAAAAAGTTCCATATATTCGAAACTCAATTACTTAATGAAGTCAGATTATTTTGCGGCAGAAGGTGACGGAGCGGTAGTAAATAATATAGTTATCGAAAATGAGAAAACCCATTGTTTCAAGTGGGTGAAAGAAAGTGTTCATTCAACTTACGAGAAAACTTTATTAAATTCTTTCGATATCAGTTTGTATGATTCCGTCTCAAACGAAAAATATGTTTTGCCAAAAGTGTTAAAAAAACAAGTAAAAAAGATAAATCATCATTGGATCTATTACAAGTTGTTAGTAAAAATCTAAAGAATCCAAGCTGGGTGCGATCAAAATACTCACATTGTAACGTGTTCGAAGGCTCTTTCATTTCAACACATAAAGAATTTACTTCAATCAGTTCAAAAAATAAATTGCTGAGGGGAATGTATAATTTTGTCTTACGAAAAAAATCAAATATGTGAACAACATTTGTATAGTGAATATGAAACACGATAGATATGTAAAAAGCAAAGATCACATCATCATCTACGCTTATTGAAAGCACAATTGTGAATTATTTATTTTGATAATAAAAGATATCACTAAGATGTATGATCATGTTGTTTTAGTTCGGAGTTCTTCTTTGCATTATTATCATTTAAAAATGTTCACGAGTCATGTTAGGGGAGCAGAAAGGAAATTGTTAAGTGATTCATTACTAACAAGAAAAGCTATACTAAAAAACCAGAAAGATTCAAAAGAATTTTCAAAAATGAATGTTCAGTCTGGTAATTTAGGTAAAGTAAAATCAGATAGCGTTCACAGAAAGTTAAGATCAGAGAAATTATCAAAAAATGACAGATGTGACGATGATGTAATTCTGTAGGCATATTTTCAGTCGAGAACAAGTTAATTTGGTTTTAAAGGAAACGTCAATGGAGGTCAAACCAACTCTTTATTTAGATGCTACAGACACATTCATCAGAAGACCAAAAATGTTAAAAATGAAATTTACTGTTATGCAGGAATAATACAAACAAAAAATTATCGGGCTTGTCCAGTTCTGGAAATGATCACTGGTAATCATGACACTGGATCAATTGGTAATTGGTTGTCAAAATTTAAAATTTTCTCACTAAAAATTTTTAAAATATGGCCAATATTTTCAAATATTGTGGTAGATTTTTCTTACGCATTTTTTAATGCAATTTCTATATTTTGGAGTAACATGTCTTTATTAGAATATATTAACAACACATATAGTTATTTGAATGATAGTAGTTCAAGACCAAATGAGATAACTGAAATGCATGTGTGTTGCTGTCATTTTTTCAAAGTTATTTGCAACGACATAAATAAAACCACGAGTGACATTTCTGAGAGAGAATTTTTGAAATTCAAATTTGCTACCTTATTTGAGCTCAACGAATGGAAAGAAATATTTGAGTGGCTCAAGTGTCTGGTAATTCTACTGGGTAGCACCACAGAAACTGAATCTGTTTTAAGAGCAAAAAATGTTTTGACAAAAAAAGCATTAGTTTTACTGAATTCATCAAGTTTGAACAGTGATCAGATATCTGCACCACAAGAAGTAGATACTGATGCCAACATCTTGTATGAAAATTGTAGAAGTTCAGAGAGTTTACGAAAATATAACAAGTTGAAATATGCTCAGAAAAGCAAAGTAATAAATTTTATAACCCAAATTTATACCATTGTGTAATGAAAAAATACATACCACTATTGCCTTCGTGGAGTGAAATTTTATGTAAAAAAATTGAGTAATGCACCAGTCGAAAGATTCTTTGGAATCATAAAAAATATAGTTTTGAAAAGGAAAATCAGAGAATATACTATTGGTGTTTGTAAAGAGACTCTAACATCGATCCCAAGAGATGTACAAGAAACAAAAATCTTGATGCGAAGATTTTGGATCACAAAGAAACTTGGAAGAAGCCAACCTATGTTCCAAAATATTTCGGAAAATCCGCTATCGATTCCTACGCAGAACAAAATGACAAAACTTCAAGTACCTATGTGTTTGTACTGTGGAAAAGGATATCTTGACGTGACTGTACTATGGGTGCAATGTGATGTATGCGATGGTTGGATTCATGCAACATGTGAAAAGTCCGAAAGTGACAGTTACAGTGAGGATTTTGTTTGTAAATTTTGTTTGAAGGATCGTAACAAAAATTAGTTGAATATAGGGAACAATCTGATTATGATCAGGCAGAAAAATATGATTTTTTTTGAAAGAATTAGTTCCGAATATACGGAACTTTTTTTTCGCACCGAAGGAACGTATGGTACTCAAATCTGTTCGAACATGTCGATAAATGTATTTTAGAGGAATATATTTTGAAATTTTCATCGACAAACTGTTTTTGATAAGTGAGAAATTTGACTTTTATGAGTAATTCAGTTCCGAATATACGGAACTTTTTTTTCGCACTGAAGGAACGTATGGTACGCAAATCAGTCTTGGCACGTCAGTAGGAGATTTGAGCCGGTTCTAAGCCTCCCCCCACCACTATGACGTATTAATTGCTTTTTTAATTTTGAACGCTTCTTCCAAAATGCAGAAAAGATGCCTTTTGTGTGGTGATATAGTAACTAAGAACTGTATTACATGTACTTGTTGTAAAAGAATAATTCATATTTCATGTATTAGTAAAAATATAAAAGTAACTGACTACACATTCCCTTATGATTATTGCGACATATGTATTCAAAATTTAATTTTGATCTGATGAGTAAAGTTACCGGTGGAGTAGGGAATAGAGTACACGCTACCAATTAGTAGAAGTAATTAGTAAACTGTTATAACTTGCAATAAATTGATAGATGTAGCCATTACTACGGCTACATCTGTCAATTTATTGGCATTTTTGCTGGTGTTTACGGATAGTTATTCATCTTTACATATTAGTACTCCTTTACCTAATATACCCGTGTAAAACCTCATAGTTGTGATTACTTCTTTTTTTCTAATAATAATAGCTTTCAGAATATTCAAAAATTCTGGCAAAATGATCGGAATATATGTTTATTGACGGAATTGGTCACTAAATTTTTGTGATGGATATGTAACGATAACTATACAATTTATAGAAAGAAAACCTTTTCATTTGGGAAAATGAAAGCATATTCGTTAAATTCATTGATGAATTTAAAAATTATAAAAGTACAATTATGGAAAATGTTCTAGTCTATGATGAAAGTACCGATTTATTAAAACATATGAAACGAACTATGATAATCCAATTGTAATAATATGCACTTCTATTCGAAAATGTCACCTTTGACGCGATACGTATTATGTGAACCATTTACTTTTAAATATATGCTACCTCAACCGTAACAAGAATAATATTTTGGCTAACATGCCAAATAATGGTAAATACAACGCTCTGTCAGGTAATATTTCAAATATTCAATGTTATCTTCTTCATGAATAACATCTTCATTTTTAGAATTATCTATATATAAAGACCAGTCAGTCATATGCTATCTTCACCGTAAGAAGAATTATATTTTGGCCAACCTGCCAAATAATGGTAAATACAACGTTCTGTCAGGTAATATTTCAAATATTCAATGTTATCTTCTTTATGAATAACATCTTCATTTTTAGAATTATCTATATATAAAGACCAGTCAGTCATATGCTACCGTCACCGTAAGAAGAATTATATTTTGGCTAACATGCCAAATAATGGTAAATACAACGTTCTGTCAGGTGATATTTCAAATATTTAATGTTATCTTCTTTATGAATAACAACCTTTCATTTTTAGAATTATCTATATATAACGACCAGTCGGTCATATGCTATCTTCACCGTAAGAAGAATTATATTTTGGCCAACATGCCAAATAATGGTAAATACAACGTTCTGTCAGGTAATATTTCAAATATTTAATGTTATCTTCTTTATGAATAAGCGTAAAATATCTTAATGGAGATGGCATTATTACAAGCAGATGTAACTATTTAGCAAGACTGCAGGTTAGCAGATTGTTCTCATTAGACATTGCTATTGTAATTTCGTAGGAGGACAGATATTCTTACAGGACGGGCCTCTCGATTCAAATCTCGACCAGGTTAATCATTTTCGACAAAAAAATTCAATCTCCACCGTTCGAGTATGAAAATATTTCACAATCCCCATGAAATTGAAATTTTCTGAAATCATACATAAGAGGTTGATTGTAATATTCCATACATATCAGATTTGGAACATTTCAGATGGTCATTTTTTAAGTAAAGAGGAGGCATCGGGTAGGAAAACAGAAATACTACCAACGTTCATGAGTGTCAAAATAATTTACTCTTGGTTGCAATATCGCACAAAAAAACAAATATTGAAATTACACACACATTTATTTTCCGTAACAAATAAACCTCAAGAACTAAAATCCTAGTTCCTCAACGAAAACATAAAAAAATGTTTTTCTTTAAATATGACTACACAAAGGTCATCGAAGATAAACGACGGCTCTCTGTGACTGTGGCGAACTTTTTTGTGCATAATACAATTGAGTATCCGTTTTTCATCGGTTTAAATTTGGAATCTCGCAAAAATAGTATATCGATAATATTTTTGTTTTCAAATATTAGTGAATATTATATACTCTTCTACATCTTCTGTTTCAAAATTACTATGTTACTACCAAAAAGTCTCTCAAGATCTAATATTATATTCAGGCCTTTTGTAATGCTATACATTATATATTGTCAAAATGTTCTTCAGAATGTTCTTATATTCAATCTGGATTATAAGGTTTTTCTGTATAAATATCTGCTCTATGACTATATATATTATATATATAAATGGGTTAGTGGGTAACAATGAAACGTTTGAATATTACTGGAGTTTTTTCCCAAAACCAAATCGTTATTTTTAACATCTCGACACGTGTTTCGATCACCAAATGACCATCTTCAAGAGGAAGTTTAATCTTCCTCTTTATTGTTAAACACTAACCCATTTATATATAATATATAGTCATAGAGCATACATTTATACAGACGTTGGTAGTATTTCAGTTTTCCAACCCGATGCCTCCTCTTTACTTAAAAAATGACCATCTTTAATGTTCCAAATCTGATATGTATGGAATATTACAATCAACGTCTAATGTATTATTTCAGAAAAGTTCATTTTCAATTTCATGGGTATTGTGAAATATTTTCTTACTCGAAGGGTGGAGATTGAATTTTTTTGTCGAAAATGAATAATCTGGTAGAAATTCATAACTGGGAGATCCGACTTGCAAGAATTTCTGCTGACCTGGAAGGTTTATTTTCAATTTTATGAGAAATTGGAAATTTTTCAATACTACAAGGGTGGGGGTTTGAATTGTCGAAAATGATTAGCCTACAAGAATTTCTGCCCTCCTACAAGATTACGATACCAATGTCTATTGAAAACAATTTGCTGACCTGCAGACCTGCAAAATAATAAATTTTCGGTTCCGATTGTATCACAGGATTCATTTTTCAAATAGAACTTGCTGATTCACTTGTTTTGGTTCGGGTAGCTGTTTGTTTAAAAATTGTTTTTAGTGAAGGTATGTTAACAACATTAATTAGATTAGAAGTTATATTAATAATAGTCTATTAATTAGACACTTTCAGTTAGATACATGATTTATTGTTGTTTCATTCATCACAATAATATTTTTAATGACCAACGTCTTATAGAAAATTCAATATGGTTTTTCGAAGAAATAAGATTGATTATAACTCGCTGGCACAAGAAATTTCGAAAGCTAAGTATACTTACGATTTGTTAAAAAATATCAAATATAACGATAATGTATATCATAAATTGGCAAAAATAATTTTTGGGGTGGATAGTAAGAGAAATATGTTCAATATATACCGTGCTATCAGATTTAATTACGGAAATATAAAGGAACTCATCGTGTCTCATAACGAAAACCATATTATGATAAGTGATTTATTACAACAAATCAAAAAAGCTGTAACAGTACTCAAAATAGATTTAAATGTGACGATGGTGTTGCAAACATGATTTTGATGTACAGAGATAACAACAATTATATCAATTCTGTAGGCGAACCTTTTTTTGTGCATATTTTCAGTCGAGAACAAGTGAATTTGGTTTTTAAGGAAATGTCAATGGAAGTCAAACAATTTCTTCATTTAGATGCTAGAGGCACAATCATCAGAAGACCAAAAAATGTTAAAAAATAAAAGTTACTATTATGCAGGAATAATACAAACAAAAAATAATCAGGTTTGTCCAGTTCTGGAAATGATCACTGGTAATCATGACACTGGATCAATTGGTATTTGGTTGTCAAATTTCAAAATTTACTCAGTAAAAATTTTCAAAAGATGTCCAATATTTTGAAATGTTGTAGTATATTTTTCTTACGCACTTTTGGAATAATATGTCTTCATCAGATTATTATATTTTCAAAACAGATAGGTTATATGAATGATAGCAGTTCAAGACCAAATGAAATAACTGAAATACATATGTGTTACTGTCACTTTTTCAAAGTTATTTGCAACGACATAAATAAAACCACGAGTGGCATTCCTGAGACAGAATTTTTGAAACTCAAATTTGCTGCCTTATTTGAGCTCAACGAATTGGAATAAATATTTGAATGGCTCAAGTGTCTGGTAATTCTACTGAGTAGCACCACAAAAACTGAATCTGTTTTAAAAGCAAAAAATGTTTTGACAAGAAAAGCATTAGTTTTACCGAATACATTTAGTTTGAATAGTGATCAGATATCTGCAGATATCTGATGCCAACAATTTGTATAAAAATAGTGTGTATTAAAAAAAGTTCAGGGAGTTTACGAAAACACAAGTTGAAATATGCTCAGAAAAGTGATGAGTTTTATAACCCAAATTCATACCATATTGTAATGAAAAAATACATACCACTATTGCCATTGTGGAATGAAATTCTATTTAAAAAAAATTGAGTAATGCACCAGTCTCAAGATTCTTCGGAATTATAAAGGATATAGTTTTGAAAAGTGACGAAAGTCAAAAATGTAGTAGGTGGTTAGGAAAATCAGAGAATATACTATTGGTATTTGTAAAGAGACTACGTTTAACATCGATCCTAAGAGATGTACAAGAAACAAAAATCTTGATGCAAAGAGTTTAGATCACAAAGAAGCTTGGAAAAAACCAACCTTTGTTCCAAAATATGTAAGAAAATCCACGATCGATTCTTACGCAGAAGAAAATGACAAAACTTTAAGTATGTGTTTGTACTGTGGAAAAAGAAATCTTCATTTGACTGAACTATGGGTGCAATGTGATGATTGTATGCAATGTGATGGATGTATGCGATGGTTGGGTTCATGCAACATGTGAAAGTCCAAAAGTGATAGTTTCAGTCGGGATTTTGTTTGTAAATTTTGTATGAAGAATCGTAACAAAAATTTAGTTGAATATATGGAACAATCTGGTTATGATCAGGCAGAAAAATATATATATTTTCAAAAGAATTAGCTAATGTGAACTTTTATGATCTAGAAAAATCAACTAAACAACAAAGAAAATCGAGTATTTGAATTGCGGAAAGAAAAATACCTTTAACAGCGTCTAATTTTGGGTTCGTTTGTAAAGCAAAGTCTAGAAAATCATTAGTGACATTGCCATATAATTTAATAAACAAAACTACTCCTCAAGTAGCAGCTATCAGATATGGAATAGAAAATGAAGAAATTGCCATAGATCAATACACAATGAAAACTAAAAAAAAAGAAACCTGGAAATACATATTGCATGTTGTTGGCAACATGCAACATGAAATTGAAAAAGGTATCATCGCCATTCCTCTATTAATTAATCGAAATCACTGGTATCTTATATTGATAGACATCCCAAAAAATTGTTTCACATTCATTAATCCAATGGGAGAGACATATTCCTCATCAGAAAAATATTTAAAATTATTCCTGAAATTTTTAAAATACACACATTACCATTGTCTACTCAAAGACGACTGGAAAATGAAAAATATACAACATGTAAAACAAACGGACGATTGTAGCTGTGGCATTTTTATATTATATTTTTTCGAACAGATTTTGAAACACGTCGTTCAAACACGTCGATAGACATACTTTCGAAGAATGTACTCTGAAATTTCCATCAACAGACTATTTTTGATAAGTGAGACATTTGACTTCATTGAATAATTCAGTTTGGAATTAATGGAACCATTTTTTTTTGCACCGAAGGAACGTATGATACGCAAATTTGTTCAGAAACTTCGATAGACATACTTTCGAAGAATATACTCTGAAATTTTCATCGACAAACTATTTTTGATAGGTGAGAAATTTGACTTTTTTTAATAATTCAGTTTCGAATATATGGTACTATTTTTTTTTTCGCACCGAAGGAACGTACTGTAGTCCAATAACTGTTTGGTATCAAACTTCGAAGGGAAAATAAACGCCTTGGTGTGAGCCAATCCTGGAAGGTTCTGCCAGAAGTCCATAAATCTTCTTGCCATCCAGATGTTCAATGTTCGTTTGGCAAAGCCTAAAGCGATGCCAATGACAGGTTCTGGTCCGATGAAGCTGCTTGCAGTACCCTACTTTGCAAAGGAGTCAGCAACCTCATTGCCTTCCAGGCCAGTATGGCCAAGAATTCAGACGAGAAACAATCTGTTAAGTCTTTCTATCGGGGAGAGTCGTTTTTATCAATTCGCTACTAATTTAGACGTTGGACACAATTCAATAGCGCACATTTCCGCTTGGAATACTGTCGCATGGGTTCCTAGACAGGTTGATATCTCTGTCCTGAGTCTACGACTGAAAACACTTTTTTGATCTATCTGTGAACCAACAACTATCTGCTCTTAATATTTCCTTCTCCCGAAGGATCC